AGCCAGGTGATCCTCCCACCTTGGCCTCCCAAAGTGCTGGGATTACAGGCGTGAGCCACCATGCCCGGCTTGGGTTTCCTTAAGAGTGGAAGAAGGGGCCGGGCGCGGTGGCTCAAGCCTGTAATCCCAGCACTTTGGGAGGCCGAGGCGGGTGGATCACGAGGTCAAGAGATCGAGACCATCCTGGTCAACATGGTGAAACCCCTTCTCTACTAAAAATACAAAACATTAGCTGGGCATGGTGGTGCGTGCCTGTAATCCCAGCTACTCAGGAGGCTGAGGCAGGAGAATTGCCTGAACCCAGGAGGCGGAGGTTGCGGTGAGCCGAGATCGCGCCATTGCACTCCAGCCTGGGTAACAAGAGCGGAACTCCGTCTCAAAAAAAAAAAAAAAAAAAAAGAGTGGAAGAAGGGAAGTTAATGTTGGGTGGACAAGCTTAGATCATGACCAAGCTGCCCTTCAGTGTACAAAATTAGAAGCCTCTGCCCTGTCCTCCTTGCAAGACAGACCTGGTATTAGAAAAAAGGACTCAGGCTCTCAAACCTGGACTCGCTGCTTGATGCTGAGCTACTTGCCTAGCCTCTCTGCCTCAGTTTGCCTCCTGGTGTTGAAATGAGGACCAAATAGGTTGGTGTCTTTTTTTTTTTTTGAGTGGACTCTCACTCTGTCACCCAGGCTGGAGTGCAGTGGCGCGATCTCGGCTCACTGCAACCTCTGCCTCCCGGATTCAAGTGATTCTCCTGCCTCAGCCTCCCGAGTAGCTGGGAACTACAGGTGCGCACCACTACGCCCAGGTAATTATTGTATTTTTAGTAGAGACGGAGTTTCACCATGTTGGCCAGGCTGTTCCCAAAACTCCTGACCTCAGGTGATCTGTCCGCCTCAGCCTCCTAAATTGCTGGGATTACAGGCATGAGCCACCACGCTTGGCCCAGTTGGTGTCTTGTATGCCATAAGCACTGTGTGTCAGCTATAATTGTCGTCATTTGAACCAGTAGGCCTATAAGCAAATTCAACTAATGTGAAGTCAGTCACCCACTGACACAGGTGTCACCCCAGTGTTGATGTCCTCCCAAGGGCCCTGAGGAGACAATGCTCTTCTTGAAAAGGTGAATTAGGCCAGGCATGGCAGCTCACGCCTGTAATCCCGGCACTTTGGGAGGCCAAAGTGGGCGAATCACCTGAGGTCAGGAGTTTAAGACCAGCCTGACCAACATGGTAGAACCCTGTCTCGACTAAAAATACAAAAATTAGCCAGACATGGTGGTGTGTGCCTGAAATCCCAGGTACCCACTGGAGTGCAGTGAGCTGAGATCACGCCACTGCACTCCAGCCTGGACAACAGAGTGAGACCCCGTGTCCAAAAAGAAAGAAAAGGTGGATTATTCATAGTTAGAGACAAATATGACAATAACAAGGTGATATTCATCACAGAGGTCTCCACCGCATGGTCAAGCATTCCCTGGGCGAGCTGGGGTAGCAGCCCCTGTGGGAGTGTGGTGGGCAGCCCCGCGTGGTGCCCCTGCAGCCTCTCCAGCTCCACAGCTGCCTTTGTTTTTAATTTTTAATTTTTAAATTTTTTATTTTCTCATCACCCTGTTACTAAAAAAAAAAAAATTTTTTTTTTGAGATAGAGTTTCACTCTGGTTACCCAGGCTGGAGTGTGATAGGGTGATCTCAGCTCACTGCAACCTCCACCTCCCAGGTTCAAACGATTGCTCCTACCTCAGCCTCCCGAGTAGCTGGGATTATAGGCATGCGCCACCATGCCTGACTCATTTTGTATTTTTAGTAGAGATGGGGTTTCTCCATGTTGGTCAGGCTGGTCTTGAACTCCTGACCTCAGGTGATCTGCCCGTCTTGGCCTCCCAAAGTCCTGGGATTCCAGGCGTGAGCCACGGTGCCTGGCCTCTACTGCCGCCTTCTGTTTGCTCCTCCGGTGAGGAAACTGGGGGGGTGGGAGATCTGGAGAAGGCCAGGGGCTAAATTGCTCTAGATGAAAAAGGGCTTGGAGGGGACAGGGAGAAAGAAGGGGAAAGGGAAGAATGTGGGAGATGCTGGGCCAGAGAGCGAGGGAAGATGGGTGAGAAGGAAACTGAGGCAACAGCCCTGCCGAGGGAACTTTGGAGAGGGGAGCGATGTCTGAAGGGGTCTTCAGAGGAGTCCTGGTGTGTGTTGAGCGAGGGGACATCCCCTATCCCTGGCCTCCTCCTGAACACCTCCTAGGTGAACTACCCAGTTCAGAACCACCAGCATCTGATCTGGAGTCTTATGTTTTTTTTGTTTTTGTTTTTTGAGACAGCATCTCACTGTGTTGCCCAGGCTGTAGTGCAGTGGCATGATCATAGCTCGCTGCCACCTTGAACTCAGTAACTCCATAGCTCACTGCAACCTCAAACTCCCGGATTCAAGCCATCCTCCTGCTTCAGCCTCTGGAATAACTAGGTGTACAGACCCAGGCCAGCATGCCCAGCTAATTTTTTTTTTTTGAGAGAGTTTTGCTCTTGTCACCCAGGCTGGAGTACAATGGCACAATCTTAGCTCACTGCAACCTCTGTCTCCCGGGTTCAAGGGATTCTCCTGCCCCATCCTCCCAAGTAGCTAGGATTACAGGCACTCACCACCACATCTGGCTATTGTTTATATTTTTAGTAGAGACAGGGTTTCACCATGTTGGCCAGGGTGGTCTTGAACTCCTGACCTCAAGTGATCAACCTGCCTTGACCTCCCAAAGTGCTGAGATTACAGGGGCCACTGTGCCTGGCCCCTAGCTAATTTTTAAATTTTTCATGGAGTCAGGGTGTCACTATGTTGCCCAGGCTGGTCTCGAACTCCTGGCCTCAAGTAATCCTCTCACCTTGGCCTCCCAAAGTGCTGGGATTACAGGCATGAGCCCCATGCCATGCTTTGCTCCTTTCTGAAGACCAAGGCACCTTGCCTGTACATCTGAGTTCCGGAACAAGAGTGGCTATTCACAGCGGTTCCTCTGCACAAAACACTATGTATCATATTTAAGCCTCCCACCTTCATGCTGCATTTCAACAGATTTTCACTTCAATTCTAACACTTACTGGAGCAAAGGTGACCACCATGCCGGGTTTGAGAACACCAGTCTCCATGCGGCCCACAGGGACAGTACCAATCCCACCAATTCTGTAGATGTCCTGGAGGGGCAGAACCAAGAGCTTGTGAGTTGGTGGTAGGATGAGAACCAGAGCTTCTGAGCAGCACAGTTCCACACAGCATTGCCATCTTTACAAGTGACTTTCCATCTCTTGAGCCAAGGCATGTGAGCTCTTGGCTCCCACCTGTTGTCACCATTCCAACCAGATATTGGCACAAATACTACTGTCAAGGTTGTAGACAATTTCCTAATGTACGTGCTGATTTCCTTAATGACTTCCCCCATCTCTCCTCTTTAGGGCGGCTCAGTGGGATCCATTTTGTTAACACCAACAATGTAAGCCAGAAGGGTATGCTCACGCATCTGCCCATTCTTGGAAATACCAGCTTCAAATTCACCATCACCAGCAGCAACAATTAGGGCAGCATAATCAGCCTGAGATGTGCCTGTAATCAGTTTTTTGATAAAGTCTCTGCGTCCAGGGGCATTGATGATGGTCACATAGTACTTGCTGGTCTCAACTGCCGGCAGGGAGGTGTCCATGGTGATACCACTCTCACGTTCAGCTTTCAGTTTACCCAAGACCCAGGTATGCTTGAAGGAGCCCTTTCCCATCTCAGCAGCCTCCTCAAATTTTTCATGAGTTCTTTTGAGGATCCCACCACATTTGTAGATCAGATGGCCAGTAGTGTGGACTTGCCCAAATCAGATGACAATGTTGAACTGAGTGTTTTCCCCCCACTTCGCTTTTTTTGAGATGCAGTCTCGCTCTGCTGCCCAGGCTGGAGTGCAGTGGCCGATCACAGCTCACTGCAGTCCCAACCTCCTGGGCTCAACCCATCCCCCCAGCTCAGCCTCCGAAGTAGCTGGAATTACAGGTGTGCACCACCACGCCCAGCTAATTTTTGTATTTTTAGTAGAAAGGGGTTTCACCTTGTTGGCCTGGCTGGTCTCAACCTCCTGACCTCAAGTGATCCACCTTCCTCCACTGCACAAAGTGGGATTACAGGCATGAGCCACCACGCTGGAGCCCCATTTTGGCTTTGATTTAACGGTAATTTTCATGACATCTGTGTTCTGGTAGCAAACCCACTGCAAAAAGCTCCACTGCCCTAGGTAGATTATAGTATAAACATTTCCATTCTACAGATAAGAAACTGAGGCTGCGTAAAGTCTTTTTTTTTTTTTTTTTTTTTTTTGAGACGGAGTTTCGCTCTTGTTCCCCAGGCTGGAGTGCAATGGCGCGATCTCAGCTCACCGCAACCTCCGCCTCCTGGGTTCAGTCAATTCTCCTGCCTCAGCCTCCCGAGTAGCTGGGATTACAGGCACGCGCCACCGTGCCCGGCTAATTTTTTGTATTTTTAGTAGAGACGGGGTTTCACCATGTTGACCAGGATGGTCTCGATCTCTTGACCTCGTGATCCACCCACCTCGGCCTCCCAAAGTGCTGGGAATACAGGCTTGAGCCACCGCGCCCGGCTGTAGTTAAAGTCTTAAAGCTAGTAAGAGTCGTTTCTCAGAGCCCATTACACCATCCTGCTTCTCCAGCGTTCTTTGCTTCCTCTACTTTCCAGAAAATATGAATTGTGGAATCCTGTGGAGGGAGACAGGGAAATAATTTGACGTTGTCTTGCACATACTAGACACAGTAAGAGTTGGGTGGATGAATGAAAGGAGGGATTTCTGAAGTAGGGGAGAAGTCGTTTGGAGGTCTGTGACAAGGGATAGGGTGGGCTTGATCACCCGGCAGAAAGGAGACAAGTAATCACAATCTCCCCAGCCAATCTTTCCAGTTACCTAGGTTTACGCTTCACCACAGGGAGGGAACTTTTTAGACGCTCCCTTAGCCGAGCGTCCGCTACCAGAACAGCGCTGTCACTTGCGACCGAATCCCTGGGCCGAAGAAAGAAGGGCGCAGGCCCGGGAGAAGCGGCGGCGGGTGGAGGCCGGGCTGGAGGGGTGGGGACGGCGAGGAGGTGGAGGTTGGTGCTCCGCTCCGTTCAGCTCCAGCTCGGATTCATGTCCCGCCAGGCGAAGGATGACTTCCTGCGGCACTACACAGTGTCGGACCCCAGGACGCACCCTAAAGGCTACACCGAGTACAAAGTAACCGCACAGGTGAGGTGGGGTCCAGCGCCTCCTTTACCCTTTTAACTAGAGGGGCGCCGAGTTTTTTACCTTAAGGAAAGGCGCTGCAGCCTCTGCTCCGTATTTAGACGCCAGAAATGAGCTTCCCCTTTAAGGGGAGGTTTCGGTACGAGGTTTGGTTTACTTCTTTAACCATTAGGCGGGGGCGGAGCCCTAGGTGGGCGCTGTCTTTTTTAAAAGGGCGTGGACGGCTGTTCCCGGGTAGGCAAGGCGAGTGTGCCCACGCTCGGGGTGTAGTGTCTAGGCATCAAGCTGTGAATTCCTCTAAATTAACGTGAAAACTCTGGTTTAACCCAAATATTAGTTAGTACTCCAAGCTCGTAGAGTAAGTTTTGTTTATCGGTTTGTTTGATCTTACATAAAATCCCTTTAACGAGTTTAACCATTTTTTAATTTTTCAAAAAATAATACTGGTCAATGGTTGAAGAAAATTCATGCAGTTCAGACGGACTTAAGGAGCAAGTCGCCATATCAAGGTCACAGCAGGAAGTCAATAGGCTAGAGTTGATAAGTGAAGCAATAGCAACATCGTAAGGACATGTTATAGAGACATGGAGGAAACCATGAAAATAATTAAAAATACAACAGTAAAAACAGGACACCTGTAGAATGATATACAAGAACTGGTAACAAGGAAGGTCCCCAGGAAGAGGAACTAGGTCACTGGGGACAGGAGTTAGGAGACTTTTTACTGTAAATTTTTTGTACTTTTAGAATTTTCAACTAGCTGACTTTTGACTTTTTCTTTTTGAGATGGAATCTCATTCTGTCCCAGGTTGGAGTGTAGTGGCGCGGTCTCAGCTTAATGCAACTTCCGCTTCCCAGGTTCAAGCGATTCTCCTGCCTTAGCCTCCCAAGCATCTGGGACAGGTGCATGCCACCACAGCTAATTTTTTGTATTTTTAGTAGAGACGGGTTTTCACCGTGGTTAGCCAGGATGGTCTCGATCTCATGACCTCATGCTCTGCCTACCTTGGCGTCCCAAAGTGCTGGGATTATAGGAGTGAGCCACCGTGCCTGGCCAACTAGGCGACTATTAAGCTGGTATTATTAGTTAACTATGAAAGCGAAGCAAGCACATAAGGACACTTCCAAAGTGATCTAAGTGCAGAATCCTAGCTATTTATGCTTTCCCCAAATTGTTTATGTCTTTTCCAAGCCTAAATAAATGCAAATAAGGGCCAGGCTCAGTGGCTCACACCTGAAAATCCCAGGACTTTGGGAGGTTGAGGCAGATGGATCGTTTGAGCTCAGGAGTTTGAGACAAACCTGGGCAACATAGTGAGACCCCGACTCAATATTTAAAAAATAAATAAATAAATAAACCACACACAGAAAACTTTAAAAAAAATTTTTTTTTAATGCAAATAAAAAGATTGTCCCTGGGAAGACAGACCGGAGGTGGGATCGGTGTGGGAACTTTTTCTTTTTTCCTTTCCTTTCCTTTTCTTTTTTGAGACAGAGTCTCGCTCTGTCACACAGGCTAGAGTGCAGTGGCACAATCTCAGCTCACTGCAACTTCTGCCTCCTGCGTTCAGCCTTAGCCTCCACCTCCTGAGCAGCTGAGACTACAGGCGCATGCCACCATGTCTGGTTAATTTTTTTTAATTTTTAGTGTAGACAGGATTTAACCACATTAGCCAGGCTAGTCTCGAACTTCTGACCTCAAGTGATCTGCCTGCCTTGGCCTCCCAGAGTGTTAGGATTATAGGCATCAGCCATCGTGCCTTGCTGGAACTGTAACCTTTTCTTGTAAGTTTTCCCAGTGGCTTTTTTGTGTCATTGCTTGCTTTGTTTTGTTCTTGAGATAGAGCCTCACTCTGTTGCCTAGGCTGGAGTGAAGTGGCTCGATCTCAGCTCGCTGCAAACCTCTGCCTCCCGGGTTCAGATTCTCCCAACCTTAACTGCCCAAGTAGCTGGGACTACAGGCACATGCCATTATGCCTAGCTACTTTTCATATTTTTTGGCAGAGACAGGGTTTCACCATGTTAGCCAGGCTGATCTGGAACTCCTGACCCCAAGTGATCCACCCACCTTGGCCTCCCAGAGTTCTGGGATTACAGGTGTGAACCATTGCACCTGGCCATTTTTTTCCCCCTTTCGTTTTTAGTAGAGACGAGGTCTTGCTATGTTACTAAAGCTGGTCTTAAACTGGTGAGCTCAAGTGATCCTCCTGTCTCTGCCTCCCAAGTGCTGGGATAACAGGCCTGAGCCACTCTGCTCAGCCTCTGCTAGTGTCTTACTTATCCTTTCAGACAAACTGTACATCCCCAGCAAATACATATATCCACTTTATTGTTATTTATACACAGTGGCATCTGTATCTTGCATTTTTTCACTTGCTGATATTCTTTAATGGTCTTTTGGGTTTTGTTTCACTTTAAACATTTTTTAAATGGGCCTGGTGCAGGTGGCTCACACCTGTAATCCCAGTACTTTGGGGGCCAAGGCAGGGGGATCACCTGAGGTCAGGAGTGACCAGCCTGGCCAACATGGTGAAACCCTGTCTCTACTGAAAATATAAAAATTAGCCAGGCATGGTGGTGCACACCTATAATCTCAGCTACCTGGGAGGCTGAGTCAGGAGAATCTCTGGAACCTGGGAGGTGTAGGTTGCAGTGAGCTGAGATCACGCCATTGCACTCCAGCCTGGGCAACAGAGCAAGACTCCATCTCAAAAATAAAAAATAAGCCTGGTGTGGTGGCTCACACCTGTAATCCCAGCACTTTGGGAGGCTGAGGTGGGCAGATCACGAGGTCAGGAGTTCAAGACCAGCCTGACCAACATGATGATGAAAGCACTTCTCTGCTAAAAATTCAAAAATTAGCTGGGCATGATAGCACATGTCTATAATCCCAGATACTCAGGAGGCTGAGGCAGGAGAATCACCTGAAGCGAGGAGGCAGAGGTTGCAGTGAGCCGAGATCATGCCATTGCACTCCAGCTTGGGTGACAGAGCAAGACTCCGTCTCAAAAAATAAATAAATAAATAAAATGTTAAAAACAAAAGCATAATTTATATAAATGTGAGCATATTTTAAACATACAGCTTAATCAAATTTTATGTATTTACATGTGTACAAACATCACTCAGATCAAAATATAGACACTTCCATTGCCCCAGAATGTTTCGCTGGATCTTTTCAAACAGTTGTTGCCTTCATCAAGGTAGCCACTGTTCTGACTCTGTCAGCATGGATTAGCTTTGTCTGCTCTTGAATCTCATATGAATGGAGTCATACAATAAGTACTCTTTTGCGTTTTACTTTTTTGTTGTTGTTTTTTGAGACAAAGTCTCTCTCTGCTGCCCAGGCTGGAGTGCAATGGTGTGATCTCAGCTCACTGCAACCTCTGCCTCCCAGGTTCCAGTGATTCTCCTGCCTGAGCCTCCCAAGTAGCTGGGACTACAGGTGCATGCCACCACGCCCAGCTAATTTTTATACTTTTAGCAGAGACAGGGTTTCACCATGTTGGTCAGGCTGGTCTCCATCTCCTGACCTCAGGTGATCTGCCTTCCTCAGCCTCCTAAAGTGCTAGGATTATGGGTGTGAGCCACCTTGCCCGGCCGTGTTTTACTTTTTTTACTCAATGTGTTTTTGGAATTTATCCATGCTGTTGCATATTTCAGTAGTTTAGGGATTTGGGGGAGTTTTGTTTGTTTGTTTTGAGACAGGGTCTTACTCTGTCTCCCCAGATGGAGGGCAGTGGTGTGATCTCGCGGTCTCTACCTTCCTGGCTCAAGCCATCCTCCTTCCTTATCCTCCCCAGTAGCTGGGACCACAGGTGTGAGCCACCAAGCCCAGCTGAGTTTTGTATTTTTTTTTTTTTTTTGCAGAGACGGGGTTTTGCCATGCTGTCCAGGCTGAAGAAGTTTGTTCTTTGTTATTGATGTGTAGTAGTCCATTGTATGAATTTATCGCTGTTTCTTCATTTATTCTCCTGTTGGACGTTTGGGTTGTTTTGAAAAAAAATTTGAGTCATAAAGTTGTACGAACATTCATATACAATTTTTTTTTATGGACTTCTACACTCATTTATCCTTGGTATATACCTAGGAGTGGAATTGGTGGATCATAGGAAAGGTATATATATATATATATATGTATATATATAGCTTTACTAGAAATTGCAATCACCTCTGGAATCTTCAAAGAGAAAAAAGAAATTGGCAACAGTTTTCCAAAGTGATTGCACCATTTTATACTTCCGTTCTCAGCAGCACTTGCTGTCATCAGTATCTTTCCTTTTCATTTCAGCCATTCTGGCTGGGTTGTGTAGTATCTAATTGGAGTGTTAATTTGTATTTCTCTGATGACCAAAATGATCTTGAGCATATTTTCAGAGTCTTCTTGGCCATTTAAACGTTTTCTTTTGTGGGAGGTGCGGGTTCAAGTATTTTGGCCTATTTTTTTTTTTTTTTTTTTTTTTTGAAATGAAGTCTCTCTCTGTTGCCCAGGCTGGAATAATACAGCGGCGTGATTTGGGCTCACTGCAACCTCCAACTGCTGAGTTCAAGCTGATTCTTCTGCTTCTGCCTCCTGAGTAGCTGGGATTACAGACTCGTGCCACAACACGTGGCTGATTTTTTTTTTTTTTTTTTTTTTTTTTTTTTTGAGACCGAGTTTCGCTCTTGTTACCCAGGCGGGAGTGCAATGGCGCGATCTCGGCTCACCGCAACCTCCACCTCCTGGGTTCAGGCAATTCTCCTGCCTCAGCCTCCTGAGTAGCTGGGATTACAGGCACGCGCCACCATGCCCAGCTAATTTTTTTTTTGTGTTTTTAGTAGAGACGGGGTTTCACCATGTTGACCAGGATGGTCTCGATCTCTTGACCTCGTGATCCACCCGCCTCGGCCTCCCAAAGTGCTGGGATTACAGGCTTGAGCCACCGCGCCCGGCCATGATTTTTGTATTTTTAGTAGAGATGGAGTTTCACCCTGTTGGCCATGCTGGTCTCAAACTCCTGATCTCAGATGATCCTGCCCACCTTGGCCTCCCAAAGTGCTGAGATTACAAGTGTGAGCCCCTGTGTCCAGCTGTATTTTGCCCATTTTAAAAAGTCATTTCTCTTAAAATTTATCTGTAAGAGAGCTTGATCAGTTCTGGATATGAGTCCTTTATCAGGTGTATATTCATATATGTTGTTTTTGTTTTCTTTCATTTTATTTGTTTGAGATAGGTCTTGCTCTACTGCCCAGGCTAGAGTGTGGTGGCGTGATCACGGCTCCCAGCAGCCTCAACTTCCTGGGCTCCAGCCATCCTCCTCCCACCTCAGTCTTCTGAATAGCTGGGACCACAGGCTCATGCCACCACACCCAGCTAATTTTTTTTTTTTTTTTTTTTTTTGAGACGGAGTTTCACTCTTGTTACCCAGGCTCGAGTGCAATGGCATGATCTCGGCTCACCGCAACCTCCACCTCCTGAGTTCAGGCAATTCTCCTGCCTCAGCCTCCTGAGTAGCTGGGATTATAGGCACGCGCCACCATGCCCAGCTAATTTTTTGTATTTTTAGTAGAGACGGGGTTTCACCATGTTGACCGGGATGGTCTCTATCTCTTGACCTCGTGATCCACCTGCCTCGGCCTCCCAAAGTGCTGGGATTACAGGCTTGAGCCACCGTGCCCCACCTTTTTTTTTTTTTTTTTTTTTTTGAGACAGAGTCTTGCTCTGTTGCCCAGGCTGGAGTGCAGTGGCACGATCTTGGCTCACTGCAACCTCCGCCTCCCAGGTTCAAGCAATTCTCCTGCCTCAGCCTCCTGAGTAGAGTAGCTGGGACTATAGGTGTGTGCCACCACGCCTGGCTAATTTGTATTTTTAGTAGAGAGTGGGTTTCACCATGTTGGCCAGGCTGATCTTGAACTCTTGACCTCAAGTGATTTGCCCACCCTCAACCTCCCAAAGTGCTGGATTACAGGCATGAGCCACCACACCCAGCCATTTTTGAATTTTTTGGTAGATACAGGGTTTCGCCATGTTGCCCAGGCTGGTCTCAGACTCTTGAGCTCAAGCAATTCACCCACCTCAGCCTTTCAAAGTGCTGAGATTACAGGTGTGAGCCACCACACCTGACTACTCAATTTTTGTTGTTGTTGTTTATTTTGGGTTTTTTTTTGAGACAGAGTCTTGTTCTGTCACCCAGGCTGGAATACAGTGGTGCAGTCATGGCTCATTGCAACCTCAGCCTCCCGAGTTCAGTCCATTCTCCTGCTTCAGCCTCCCAAGTAGCTGGGACTACAGGTGTCCACCACCATGCCCAGCTAATTTTTTTTTAGCTGGGTTTCACTGTTATAGCCAGGATGGTCTCAGTCTCCTGACCTCATGATCCGCCTGTCTCGGTCTCCCAAAGTGCCGGGATTACAGGCATGAGCCACCTCGCCCAGCACTCAGTGATTTTTAAGTAGTTTCTTTTACCAGCATATTTTAGGCAGTTCTCTGTTGTCATAAGCCAAGGCCAGGGTTTGAGTCCCAGCCGTCCTTCTTACTTGGTGTGTGACCTTTTATGGCCACACCTCTCAGAGCCTCCATTTCCTCATCTTTTAAGTGACATGTTAATTATGTCTGCCTCAGTGGGGTCTAGGATAAGGAATAGATGTTTTTATTTACTTAGTGTGTGAAAGATGGTCTCACTCTCTCCAGGCTGGAGTGCGGTGGTGTGATCTCAGCTGACTGCAACCTCTGCCTCCCATGCTCAAGTGATCCTCCCACCTCAGCCTTCCAAGTAGCTGGGACTACAGGTGTGCCACGCCACCACACCCAGCTAACTTTTTGTAATTTTTGCAGAGACTGGGTGTCACTTTGTTGCCCAGGCTGGTCTCAAACTCCTGGACTCAAGTGATCTGCCCACCTAGGCCCCCTGAAGTGTTGGTATTACAGGCATGAGCCACTGTGCCCAGCATAGGAGATGTTATTAAACCATCAAATACCCTAAACCATAGGACATTATTATTATTATTATTATTATTATTATTATTTTTTTTTTTTTTTTGAGACAGAGTGTTGCTCTTGTTACCCAGGCTGGAGTGCAATGGTGCGATTTCGGCTCACCGCAACCTCCGCCTCCTGGGTTCAGGCAATTCTCCTGCCTCAGCCTCCTGAGTAGCTGGGATTACAGGCACGTGCCACCATGCTCAGCTAATTTTTTTGTATTTTTAGTAGAGACGGGGTTTCACCACGTTGACCAGGATGGTCTCGATCTCTCGACCTCGTGATCCACCCGCCTCGGCCTCCCAAAGTGCTGGGATTACAGGCTTGAGCCACCGCGCCCGGCCCATAGGACATTATTTTAAAATCATTATGAACATAACATGATGAAAAGTGAATCCTGTTTTCGCCTCAAACCCAAGTCTGCCCTTCCAGGGGACTTTAGCTCCAGCGATGGTTCCTTCTGTGTCCAGGGTGCTGAAGCACAGGACTTTCTCCCTTAAGAAAGGGTGTTCCTGAGGCAGAACCTCCGTTCTTTGGAGATTTGGGGTTATTTGGTTTCAGAAGGAGATGCAGGGACTTGGCCTCTTCGAGGAACTGGGGTAAAAATTGGGCTGATGGCCATGCACAGCGGCTCACGCCCGTAATCCCAGTACTTTGGGAGGCCAAGGTAGGTGGATCACTTGAGGTCAGGAGTTTGATACCAATCTGGCCAACAAGGTGAAACCCTGTCTCTCCTAAAGATACAAAAAATTAGCTGGGTGTTGTCGTGCGTGCTTATAATCCCAGCTACTCGGGAGGCTGAGGCAGGAGAATGGCTTGAACTGAGGAAGTGGAGGTTTCAGTGAGCCAATGTCACGCCATTGCACTCCAGCCTACAGGGCAAGGCTCTGTCGCAAAAAAAAAAAAATCGCTGGGCTGAGGTTGGAGTAGTCCAAATGAGCCTTTAGGGGTTCTTCTGTTTGACAGATGGAGAAACTGAGGTGCATAGTGGAAAAATTGCTGAGGTTACACTCAAAGGCTTAAAGCCAGGGTGCCTTGATGCTAGATCCCAGTGGCCAAAGGACACTGCCCCTTGCGGGGGACTAGGAGGCACCTGGGCATGACAGGATGAGGAGGTATCAGTTGGCGGTCTCTGGTCTCAACTGGCTCTTGCCTTTCTTTCTCAGTTCATCTCAAAGAAGGACCCAGAGGATGTCAAAGAGGTGAGGCTCCTGGGAGGAAGAGGGAAGTTCCAGACCTGGAAACTGACAAGGGGCAGTTGGTAACTCTGTTTGAACACCGGCCCTCCTTCCTCCCCAGCCCTGGGCAAGGCAGCGCTGCATCCTGATCCTCACACCCCCTGGGGGCAGACTGGGCATGGACGTGGCTGCCTCCCACCATTGCCAGTCCCAGGCAAGTCTCGTGTCCCTCGTAGGTGGTGGTCTGGAAGCGGTACAGCGACTTCCGCAAGCTGCATGGAGACCTGGCCTACACCCACCGCAACCTCTTCCGCCGCCTGGAGGAGTTCCCTGCTTTCCCCCGGGCCCAGGTGTTTGGTGAGTGTTAGATCCGGGCACTCAGGTCGAAGATAGAGGGAGCATTGGGCAAAAGGGACATCTGCCAGTGGGGGCTGGATAGAGAGGAACGGAATCTCTGGGCAGATACACGTTTGGAAGGGCCTTTAGGGATGACCTTATTTGACAGATGAGGAAACTGAGGCTCAGAGCAGCCTAATCCTGTATATTGCACTTTTTTTTTTTTTTTTTTTTTTGAGACGGAGTCTCACTGTATGGTCCAGGCTGGAGTACAATGGCATGATCTCCACTCCCCGCAACCTCCGCCTCCTGGGTTCAAGCAATTCTCCTGCCTCAGCCTCCCAAGTAGCTGGGACTACAGGTGCACACCACCATGCCCAGCTAATTTTTTAAGTAGAGACGGGGTTTCACCATGTTGGTCAGGCTGGTCTCGAACCCCTCACCTCGTGATCCGCCCGCCTTATCCTCCCAAAGTGGTGGGGTATTGTGCCTTTTAACATTCCTGTCGGGCCAGATGCAGTGGCTCATGCCTGTAATCCCAGGGCTTTGGGAGGCCAAGGAGGGTGGATCACCTGAGGTCAGTAGTTTGAGACCAGCCTGACCAACATGGTGAAACCCTATTTCTACCGAAAGTACAAAAAATTAGCCAGGCGTGGTGGCACATGCCTGTAATCCCAGCTACTTGGGAGCCTGAGGAAGGAGACTCACTTGAACCCGGGAGGTGGAGGTTGCAGTGAGCCGAGATCGCGCCAGTACACACGAGCCTGGGCAACAAAAACGAAACTCCGTCTCAAAAAAAAAAAAAAAAATTCCTGTCTTTATTAGCTCCATTTTCTTTTACTTTTTTGTTATCGTTGACAGCCTCACTTTGTTGCCCAGGCTGGAGTGCAGTGGCGCTATCTTGGCTCACTGCAATTTCCACCTTCCGGGTTCAAGTGAGTCCCCTGCCTCAGCCTCCCGAGTAGCTGGGATTACAGGCATGCACCACCCCACCTGGCTAATTTTTGTATTTTTAGTAGAGACAGGTTTCACCATGTTGGCAGGCTGGTCTCGAATGCCTGACCTCAAGTGATCTGCCTCAGCCTCCCACAGTTCTAGGATTATAGGTGTGAGCCACTGCACCCAGCATATTAGCTCCATTTTCAAGGTAAGGGAGCTGAGGCTCAGTGAGGTGAAGGGTCTTGGCCTGTAGGTGGCAGAACCAGGATTCCTTGCCACAGCTGCACAGCTGGGATTTCCTGTAGACCTGTGCCTTCCAAAACAGTAGCTGTGAGCCCTGTGTGGCTGAGGAGCACTTGGGATGAGAGTAACTAGGACTACAGGGCACGCCACCACGCCCAGCTAATTTTTATATTTTTAGTAGAGACAGGGTTTCACCATGTTGACCATGCAGGTCTCGAACTCCTGACCTCAAGTGATCAAGCTGCCTCAGCCTCCCAAAGTGCTGGGATTACAGGCACGAGCCACCGTGCCTGGCCGAGATGTTCTTTTGAAGCAAAGTAAAGGATCACTGATGTCAGGCCAGTGGGAGTGCCGCAGACTGGCCACACAGTACCTGGACCAGAGTTAGCCTGCTCTGCTTAATACCTAGGACAGAGCAATGAAACTGGCTCAAACCTGTAATCTCAGCACTTTGGGAGGCCAAGGCAGGTGAATCAGTTGAGCTCAGAAGTTCAAGACCAGCCTGGAAACAATGGCAAAACCCCATCTCTACAAAAATACAAAAGTTAGCCAGGCATGGAGGTGTGCGCCTGTAGTCCCAGCTACTTGGGAGGCTGAGGTGGAAAGGCAGGTTGATCCCAGGAGGCAGAGGTTGCAGTGAGCTGAGATCGTGCCACCGTACACCCACCGGCCTGGGTAACAGAGCCAGGCCCTGTCTCAAAAAATAAACAAGGAGGCTACTTGCTGTGTGACCTTGGGCAAGTCACTTTACCTCTCTGAGCCTTACTTTTCTCCTCATTAGATCAAAGCCATCAGAAATGCTTTTGTTTCTTGTTAACTACCTAGCTCTCCCTGTATAGAATATGATATTCACAAGGGCAGAGACTTATGTCTCCCCCTGTACACCTTCTGAGCCTAGCATATAGTAGGTGCTCAGTAAACATCTGGCGATTGAATGAATAGGGAGACTGATCCCTCCTGAAAACCCTTACCTCGCCCCAGGAGGAGCCGGGGAATACTGCTGGGAAGATGGGTAGGAGGGCAGCGAGTTGCTCAGAGCATCTCTGGCAGGACCAGGAAAAGTGGCTTTGGGGCAGAAGCCTCTGTGGGTCGCCACCAGTCTCCCCTCTCTGTAGGCCGGTTTGAAGCCTCAGTGATCGAGGAGCGGCGGAAGGGGGCAGAGGACCTGCTTCGCTTCACGGTGCACATACCCGCGCTCAACAACAGCCCCCAGCTCAAGGAGTTTTTCCGGGTATGTGTGCCCAGTCCTTCCACCTTCCCAGAACCTGGGCCACGTACGCGCCACCAGATTGCACCCCATGACTCCCCATGGCTGGTCTTTCTGTCCTGCAGGGTGGGGAGGTGACCCGACCCTCAGAAGCGTCCAGGGACCTACACATCCTGCCACCTCCTCTGATCCCCACCCCGCCCCCTGATGACCCCCGGCTACCCCAGCCGCTCCCTGCAGAAAGGAGGGGCTTCGAGGAATTGGAGGTGCCAGGTACAGCCGGGTGGGAGGAGGGAACCAGGGCGGGAGGGTGCAGAGTGGGAAGGGAGCCCACACTCCCTCCTCAGCGATCTTAGTGAGATATGTGTGTGTCCCGGGTCTGTCGCTGGCTGTGGGCAGGTCCTTTTCCTTCTCTGCGCTACAGTTTCTTAATCTGTAAAATGGGCACAAACCCTAATAATAGGCTTATCTATGCCCATGGTTGCTGCAAGGGTTTAGGGAGAGAGTAATTCCATTTTAAAAGCTGAGAAATAAACAAGTATTAATGTCCCCAATTATCTCTTCCTCAGTGGACCCCCCACCATCCAGCCCTGCCCAGGAAGCCCTGGATCTCCTCTTTAACTGTGGGAGCACTGAGGAGGCATCCGGTTCCCCTGCCCGAGGCCCCCTCACTGAGGCTGAGCTTGCACTCTTCGACCCCTTCTCTAAGGAAGGTAATGAGCTGGGACAGCCGGGAAGGAGCCAGGGCAGGATATCCTTGGGACAGGGAGGAAGGCAGAGCCTCACTAGCCTGCTCCAGTGCCTGCGCACATCTGAGAAAGATGCTCCCTCCGCAATGCTGCCCTTCAGACCAATAGCAGCTTCACTGAGAATTAGAAGCCCCGTGCCAGGGCTCGTGCATGGTGTGCTGGATGCCCCTGTGCAGCGAGTAGCCACGAGGAAGGAAAAGATGCACTTCCCATGTTGGGGCCGTCTCACTGAGAAGCCTTTAGAAAGACCCAGGTCACACTGCCCTGGGACATTTTAGTTCCTTCCGTGAAAGCTCATGGTGGGATTTCGGGTCTGGCTGCAGATCTTGAAGGCAAGAGGCCTGCTGGTCAGTGGGGGTGAGGTCTGAGCTCAAAGAGAAGCCACAAAGGGAAACCTCTCTGGGGGCCTGGAGCCACTGGCATTGGGGGATGCCAGAGATAGAAGGCTCCCCCCTCCCCACCAATGGAGGATCAGAGTGCTGGGCACCTTCTTACTCTGAGATCCTGGGACTTGACAGTCCCAAGTTCTGAGATACTGGAGTTTTTCAGTCTAAGATTTGGCAAGGCCTGGCACAGTTACTTACACCTGTAATCGCAACACTTTGGGAGGCTGAGGCAGGAAGATCGCTTAAGCCCAGGAATTCAAGACCAGCCTGGGCAATATAGTGAGACCTCATGTCTGTTATTCTTTTTTTTTGAGATGGAATCTCACTCTGTCACCCAGTTTGGAGCTCAGTGACGCAATCTCTGCTCACTGCAACCTCTCGGGTTCAAGCCATTCTTCTGCCTCAGCCTCCCGAGTAGCTGGGACTACAGGCGCATGCCATGGTGCCTGACTAATTTTTGTATTTTTAGTAGAGAAGAGGTTTCACCATGTGGTGAGGCTGGCCTTGAACCCCTGACCTCAAGTGAGCTGCCCGTCTCAGCCTCCTAAATTGCTGGAATGATGGGGGTGAGCCACAGCACCCAGCCTGTTATTCTTAGAATTAAAAACTTACATAAGGCCAGGCATGGTGGCTCACACCTGTAACTCCAGTACTTTGGCAAGCCAAGGCAGGCAGATCATGAGGTCAAGAGATTGAGACCATCCTGGCCAACATGGTGAAACCTGTCTCTACTAAAAATACAAAAATTACCTGGACGTGCTGGCGTGCATGCCTGTAGTCCCAGCTACTTGGAAGGCTGAGGCAGGAGAATTGCTTGAATCTGGGAGGTGGAGGTTGCAGTGAGCCGAGATTGCGCCGCTGCACTCCAGCCTGGTGACAGAGCAAGACTCTGTCTCAGAAAGATAAATAAATACAAAAATTAAATTAAAAACTTACATAAGGCCAGGCATGGTGGCGCGTGCCTATAGTCCAGCTACTCGGGAGGCCGAGACAGGAGAATCGCTTGAACCGGGGAGGTGAGGCTGTTGCAGTGAGCCAAGATAATGCCACTGCACTCCAGCCTGGGCAGCAGAGCAAGACTCCATCTCAAAAAGAAACCAACAAAGCAAAACCTGTTTTAAAAATATAAGGAAAAGTGCCGGGCGCGGTGGCTCAAGCCTGTAATCCCAGCACTTTGGGAGGCCGAGGAGGGTGGATCACGAGGTCGAGAGATGGAGACCATCCTGGTCAACATGGTGAAACCCCGTCTCTACTAAAAATACAAAAAATTAGCTGGGCATGGTGGTGCGTGCCTGTAATCCCAGCTACTCAGGAGGCTGAGGCAGGAGAATTGCCTGAACTCAGGAGGCGGAGGTTGTGGTGAGCCGAGATCGCGCCATTGCACTCCAACCTGGGTAACAAGAGCGAAACTCCGTCTCAAAAAAAAAAAATATATATATATATATATATATATATGGAAAAGAAAAAATTTGCCAAGTTTATGATGTCACTGCTGGCATGGTGTGGAGTGGCTGATCTCACTCCGGGATAATCATGGGAGAGTTTCCATTTTGATTCCTTAGCAGTTTTAAGCCTGTTTTGTTGGTGTCCCTTCTTCACCCTTTGGTGACCTCCTGGGCAGACAGACCCCTGGCTTTCTGGTCAGTTTAAGGCATGTGAGCTCTCTCCCTCAGGCAAGAAAAAGTCTAGTCCTGGCGGGGCACAGTGGTTCATGCCTGTAATCCCAGCACTTAGGGAGTCCGAGTTGGGTGGATCACGAGGTCAACAGTGAAACCCCGCCGGGCGCGGTGGCTCAAGCCTGTAATCCCAGCACTTTGGGAGGCTGAGGCGGGTGGATCACGAGGTCGAGAGATCGAGACCATCCCGGTCAACATAGTGAAACCCCGTCTCTACTAAAAATACAAAAAATTAGCTGTGCATGGTGGCACGTGCCTGTAATCCCAGCTACTCGGGAGGCTGAGGCAGGAGAATTGCCTGAACCCAGGAGGCGGAGGTTGCGGTGAGCCGAGATCGCGCCATTGCACTCCAGCCTGGGTAACAAGAGCGAAACTCTGTCTCAAAAAAAAAAAAAAAAACAGTGAAACCCCATCACTACTAAAAATACAAAAAAATTAGTCGGACGTGGTGGTGGGCGCCTGTAGTCCCAGCTACTCAGGAGGCTGAGGCAGGAGAATCACTTGAACCCAGGAGGCAGAGGTTGCAGTGAGCCAAGATTGCACCACAGCACTCCAACATGGGCAACAGAGTGAGACTCCATCTCAGGAAAAAAAAAAAAAAAAAAAAGTCTAGTCCTGTCTGAATTAGGACCGCCGTCTCCCAGTCTCAGCCTCCCCACTCCACCTGGCTCAAGCCTGACCAGTGACCTGCGGCTGTGAGGAATCTCCTTTCACTTTTTTTTTTTTGAGACAGAGTTTTGTTCTTGTTGCCCAGGCTGGCATGCAATGGCAGGATCACTCACAGCAACCTCCGCCTCCAGGGTTCAAACGATTCTTCTGCCTCAGCCTCCTAAGTAGCTGGGATTACAGGCACGCGCCACCACGTCCAGCTAATTTTGTAGTTTTAGTAGAGACGAGGTTTCTCCATGTTGGTTAGGCTGGTCTCCAACTCCCAACCTCAGGTGATCCACCCGCCTTGGCCGCCCAGGGTGTTGGGATTATAGGCGTGAGCCACTGTGCCTAGCCTTTTTTTTTTTTTTTTTTTTTTGAGATCGAGTCTTGCTCTGGATTGCCCAGGCTGGAGTGCAGTGGCATGATGTCACTTCACTGCAACCTCTGCCTGCTGGATTCAAGCAATTCTCCCACCTCAGCCTCCCGAGTAGCTGGAACTATAGATGTGTGCCACCTGGCTGATTTTTGTATTTTTAGTAGAGATAGGGTCTTGCCATGTTGGTCAGGCTGGTCTCGAACTCCTGACCTCAAGTGATCCACCTGCCTCAGTCTCCCAGAGTGCTGAGATTACAGGCGTGAGCCATGGCGCCTGGCTCTTTACTTTTCCTGTTCTGCTTCCTCCCTTCCCTGCTCCTGCCTCTCCAGTGTGGGGGAGTGGGACAAAGGAATGGGAGGGGAAAGGCAGCGTTGGTGTCCTAGAACTGTTGTGCCTGGCCTCTGGGTGGCAGGCATCCAAGTGCTCTGCCCTTCGGCCAGCAGCTGCCTGCTGGGCAGGAGCTTTACTATTTTCTCTCTCTCTTTTTTTTTTTGAGACAAGGGGTCTTGCTCTGTCACCAGGCTAGAGAGCAGTGGTTCGATCACAGGTCATTGCAGTCTCTACCTCCTAGGCTCAAGTGATCCTCCCACCTCAGCCTCCTGAGTAGTTGGGACAGAACCACAGGCATTCATCATCATGCCCAGCTAAGTTTTTTTTTTTTTGTTTTTTGTTTTTTAAAAGACGGGATTTCACCGTGTTGGTCAGGCTGGTCTTGAACTCCCGACCTCAGGTGATCTGCCCGCCTTGGCCTCCAAAGTGCTTGGATTACAAGCATGAGCCACCACGCCAGCCGCCCAGCTAAGTTGTTTAATTTTTGTAGAGACGAGAGCTCACTGTGTTGCCCAGGCTGGTCTCAAACCCCTGTGTTCAAGTAGTCCTCCCACCTCAGTCTCCCAAAGTGCTGGATTATACGCATGAGCCACTGTGTCCAGCCAGCATCTTTTCAAGACCCTTCACAGACAGCTTCTGTAAGACATTCACTCAGCATATGGGAGGTTTCAGTGAGCCGAGATCGCGCCATTGCACTCCAGCCTGGGCAACAAGAATGAAGCTCTGTCTCAAAAAAAAAAAAAAGAAAGGTAAGGCTGTTTTTACAAAAGCACATGAACCCTATTGATCCAGTAGATCATGGCTACTTTTTGATCCACAGGCAACTTCTGGATTGCTCTGGCATTGGTCCCCTCTACTGGGGACAAGCTGATACCCTGATGGACAAGAGAGGTCTGGGAGTTGGGCAGAGGGCCTTGGGAAAGGAAGGGCTTGTCTGGTCTGAGTCCTCTCTGATTGCAGAAGGTGCAACCCCCAGCCCCACCCATGTGGCTGAGCTGGCAACGATGGAGGTGGAGTCGGGAAGGCTGGACCAGGAACCATGGGAACCAGGAGGGCAGGAGGAGGAAGAGGACGGGGAAGGAGGGCCCACCCCTGCCTATCTAAGCCAGGCCACAGAGCTTATCACCCAGGCCCTTCGTGATGAGAAGGCAGGTGCCTACGCTGCCGCGCTCCAGGGCTACCGAGATGGTGTGCACGTCTTACTCCAGGGAGTGCCCAGTGAGTAGGGACTGAGGGTGGAGGGTCAAGCCTGGGTCCCAGATGGGCCAGTGAAAAAGGGAGCAAAAAACAAGCACTTCAAGGATCAGGAGCTCTTGCTCCTCACTGACCAGCTGTGTAACCTTAGGCAGATTTCTGTTTCTGTTTCCTTTTTTCACCTCTTGTGCCCTCAGGTTTCTTATTTGTGAAATGGGGAGAATGGACGCCGGGCCCCTGGGAGGAGGGAAAAGCACATGGTGATGCTCTGTGAATTGTAAAGGATGAGACTAGGGGTTCCGACTTGACCAGTGGCGCCCAGGTGCCTCAGCTGAGCAGTCTCTCCACAGGTGACCCATCGCCTGCCCGCCAGGAAGGTGTGAAGAGGAAAGCAGCTGAGTACCTGAAGCGGGCAGAGGAGATTCTGCGTCTGCACCTGTCCCAGCTCCCACCCTGATGGGGAGTGGGTCCTTCCCTGGGACTCTCGCTCCAGCACTGCCAGCCCCTTGTCCTCTCCCCATGGCCTGGCCTTGCCTCCTGGTCTCATAACCCCAGGGGCCATTTCTGAAGGTAACTGGACCAAGAATGAGAAAAAGAATTAATCTCAGCTCCCTAACTACACCTACAACCTTGGAATCAAGGACTCACACTTCTGACCCTGTCTTTTGTTTCGAGATGGAGTCTCACTCTGTCACCCAGGCTGGAGTGCAGTGATGTGATCACAGCTCACTGCAACCTTTGCCTCCCAGGTTCAAGCGATTCTCCTGTCTCAGCCTCCCCAGTAGCTGGGCTTGTACGCACTCCCCACCACACCCAGCTAATATTTTGTATTTTTAGTAGAGATGGGATTTCACCATGTTGGCCAGGCTGCTCTGGAACTCCTCAAATGACCTACCTGCCTCGGCCTCCCAAAGTGCTGAGGTTACAGGCATGAGTCACCGTGCCTGGCCCCTGCCTGTCTGTCTTGATGTGTGAGCAGCAGCTATGGTTATTAAACCATTAGCTTAGCCCTCTAGAACGGGTCTGCAAACTCCCACTTGCAGACAGATCCCGCCCACCTCCTTTTTAATGTAAGGCCTGTAAGCTACAGTGGTTTTTACATTTTTTTTTTAATTAAAAAAATCTAACACTCTGTGACAGGGGAAAATTATATGAAATTTAAGAGTCTATAAATAAAACTTGTTGGAACACAAACAGGCTGATTCATTTAGTATTGTGATGGCTGCGTTCACGCTACACTGGCAACTGAACAGTTGCAGAGTTGAGTCTTTGCTGCCTGCAAATCCCAAAACGTGGCCCTTTGCAGAAAGCATTTGCTGATCCCTGAGCTAGAAAATAGGGAGCATTCCAAGGAAACAGAAAATAACAAGCCGATGGAGCCGTTTTATTGGGTGGAAGGGACGAAGGAGAGGAACCCAAAGCGAGGGTACCCGTCTCGGAGGCCCCAAAGCCAAATACGGATTGCTCAGCCGGCTGGAGCCCGGCAGGGCTGGGGGCGTGGCCTCCGTCCCGCCCCGCCTCGCCTCACCACAAAGCGATTGGTTGCGGCAGGGATTACACCGGTGTATCATGGGAGCGGCCCGAACTACACTCAAAAAAACAAGGGGCGCGCGCAAAGCTGAACTTGGCGCTTGATGGGGACTTTTTGCCGCGCGGGAACTACAGGGGCGTTGCAGGACTACAGCGCAGTGCATCTGGGGAGGCCGATTCGACGGGACCGGGTGAGAGGACGGAGGTGGGCAGGGGCGGACGGCGGTGGCCCGACGGGCGACCAGGAGGCCGGAGATCATGGCGGGCAGGCGGGCCCAGCCAGGTTCAGCCCCGCTCTGTTGCTCCCCATAGCCAGTCGGCCTCGCGTGCCCTCCCGCGGCACCGCCGTCCCCGAGATGCTGAGCCCCCACCGTCTCCTCGCAGCCTCCTCATGCCCGGCTGCGAGCTGCCCGTGGGCACCTGCCCGGACATGTGCCCGGCCGCCGAGCGCGTCCAGCGCGAAAGGGAGCGCCGCCTGCACCGCTTGGAGGTGGCGCCGGGGTGTCGCCAGGACCCGCCGCGCGCTGACCCGCAGCGCGCGGTGAAGGAGTACAGCCGACCAGCCGCCGGCAAGCCCCGGCCCCCACCCAGCCAGTTGCGTCCGCCCTCTGTGCTGCTGGCCACCGTGCGCTACCTGGCCGGTGAAGTGGCGGAGAGCGCAGACGCCGCCCGCGCAGAGGTGGCCAGCTTCGTGGCAGACCGCTTGCGAGCCGTGCGCCTGGATCTGGCTCTGCAGGGCGCGGGCGACGCTGAGGCAGCAGTGGTGCTAGAGGCGGCGCTGGCCACGCTGCTGGCCGTGGTGGCGCGGCTCGGGCCCGACGCGGCGCGGGGACCCGCGGACCCCGTGCTGCTGCAGGCCCAGGTGCAGGAGGGTTTCGGCTCGCTGCGGCGCTGCTACGCTCAGAGCGCCGGACCGCACCCCCGGCAGCCCGCCTTCCAGGGCCTCTTTCTGCTCTATAACCTGGGTGAGTTGGGGTCCCGGCAGCTGGGCAGAGCGTGGGGACAGGAGCCCTCCATGACAGTGGAGGTAGGGAAAGGAAGCGTTACCTTTAACATCTCACCATTAGCTCCTTCCCAGGACAGCACAAGATCCACCCAGTCCCGATGTGGGACCTCAGGCCAATCTCTGAGTCTTAGTTGCCTCAGGAATAAAAGTGAAGGGGGCGAGGATGGAACGGGAGAGTTGGCCTAAATCGTGATCGTGATTTTTTTTTTTTTTTTGAGACGGAGTTTTCGCTGTTGTTACCCAGGCTGGAGTACAATGGCGTGATCTCGGCTCACCGCAACCTCCGCCTCCTGGGTTCAGGCAATTCTCCTGCCTCAGCCTCCCGAGTAGCTGGAATTACAGGCACGCCCCACCATGCCCAGCTAATTTTTTGTATTTTTAGTAGAGACGGGGTTTCACCATGTTGACCAGGATGGTCTCGATCTCTTGACCTCGTGATCCACCCGCCTTGGCCTCCCAAAGTGCGGGGATTACAGGCGTGAGCCACCGCGCCCGGCCGATCATGATTTTTAACCTTTTTTTTTTTTTGAGACGAATTGTCGCTCTGTCATCCAGGCTGGAGTGCAGTGGCATGATCTTGACTCACTGCAACCTCCGCCTCCTGGGTTCAGGCGACTCTCCTGCCTCAGCCTCCCGAGGAGCTGGGACTACAGGTGCGCGCCACCGCGCCTGGCTAATTTTTGTATTTTTCATAGAGACAGGGTTTCACCATGTTGGCCAGGCTGGTCTCAAACTCCTGACCTCAAATGATCCACTCACCTCTGCCTCCCAAAATTCTGGGATTACGAGCATGAACCACCACACCCAGCCTGTTGGTGTTTTTTGAGACAGGGTCTCACTTTGTTGCCCAGGCTGGCTTGATCATAGTTTACTGCAGCCTCAACCTCCTGGGCTTAAGGGATCCTCCTCCCTCATCGCCTTCCGAGCAGCTGGCACCACAGATGTGCACAACCTGGCTAACTTAAAAAAATTTTTTTGTAGAGATGGGGTCTCACTTGTTGCCACTCGAGTTGCCGGGCTCAAGTGATCCTCCTGCCCCACCTTCCCAAGTATCTGGGTGCCTGCCGTCATGACCAGTTAATGGTTTTTCTTTGTTCACACTGTGAAGAAGACATAGTAATTATCCCTGGTCTAGTGGGGGAAGAAACCGAAGCCCAGAGTGGTGAGGTGACTTGCCTCTTGACGCAGCACTGGTTAACAGTAGCAGAGGTAGGACCATGATTTTCTTTTAATTTTTTAAAATTTACTTTTATATAGAGATTGGGGTCTTGCCATGTTAACTAGGATGATCTCAAACTCCTGGGCTAAACTGATCCTACCACCTTGGTCCCCCAAAGTGCTAGGATTACAGGCATGAGCCACTGTGTCCAGCCCTCTAATAAGCTCTGTTCTGGCCGGGCCCTCTCTACTAAAAATGCAGACATTATCTGGGCATGCCTGTAATCCCAGCTACTCGGGAGGCTGATGCAGGAGAATCACTTGAACCTGGGAGGTGGTGCAGGTTGCAGTGACTCACTATACTTCAGCCCGGGTGACAGAGCAAGTGGTCTCAAAAAAAAAAAAAAAAAAAAGACTTTTATACAGTTATAACAAAATGCTGTTGACTTCACAATCTACTAGTTGTTCAGAAGACCCAGTTTACAAAAGTGACCCAAGGTTCCAGTGCCTGAGACTCTTCTGGAAGGGAAGTAGGAGCATAGTCTCCTGAAGAAGGGGCCTTCCCAGGTGGTCAGGGGAAGATGAGGCAGAATTGGCTTCCAAAACTATGGGTGCAGGGAAGCCAGGGTAGTGGGAAGTCCAAGTCAGAAAACTTGGATTGGGGTCACCACTCTCAGACAAGTCACTAAATTATCTGGGCTAGCTTCCCAAAGCCGTATACCCTGCCTACTTCAGTATTGTAAGTAAGGATCTGGACTGCAGGGGGTCCAGAGCCTGAGGCAACTCGTTCAAATATGGGTCAGGGAGGGAGCCAATGGCTGGACCTTAGAGGGAAGAGGGAAGGTGGGCTAGGCCTGCAGAAGGGGCGTGGTTGAGGAGGTAGGTAGGAGGGAGGTCCGGAGCTGAGCTTGGGACAGAGGAGGTGGGCGTGGCAAGGAAGAATGAGGAGTTGGGAGGGGAGATGGTACTGATCCTGTAAGGACCTGGCATCCTCATTCTGGCTTCCCACCCTCACAGGCTCAGTGGAGGCCCTGCGCGAGGTTCTACAGCTACCTGCTGCCCTGCGTACCTGCCCGCCCCTCCGCAAGGCCTTGGCGGTAGATGCTGCTTTCCGAGAGGGCAATGCTGCCCGCCTGTTCCGCCTACTCCAGACCCTGCCCTACCTGCCAAGTTGTGCTGTGCAGTGCCATGTGGGCCATGCACGCCGGGAAGCCCTGGCCCGCCTCGCTCGTGCCTTTAGCACCCCCAAGGGCCAGACCTTGCCTCTGGGCTTTATGGTCAACCTGCTGGCCCTGGATGGACTCAAGGAAGCACAGGACCTGTGCCAGGCCCACGGGCTGCCCTTGGACGGAGAGGAGAGAGTTGTGTTCCTGAGGGGTCGCTACGTGGAGGAAGGGCTACCACCTGCCGGTACATGCAAGGTGTTAGTGGAGAGCAAACTTCGAGGACGCACCCTGGAGGAGGTGGTCATGGCAGAGGAGGAAGATGAGGGCATGGACAGACCTGGATCCCTACCTGAGGAGGGAACATGAGCCTCCCAGAGCCCCGGACTGGGTCAGAGCACTTAGGTTTCTTTTTCTATGGTTCCCAGCTAATAAAAGGAACTTGTTTTGTTGGTACCAGTCACTAAACTTGATTTATTTGGGGAGCTGTTGTAGGGAGTTAGGACACACAGCATGCAGGGAGAGGAACGCAGACTAGGCAAGACCCAACGCACCCTGTGCCTCAGTTTCTCCACTGGTCCTTGACTTTGGTGATCTGAGTTGGCATGCATCCCATCTTCACCCACCCGCCAGCAAGAGCAGTTGGTTTTGCCATTCCCACCATCCCTGTCCCCTCTGCCAACCCTCTGCCACCTGTGCCAGGGTGAGGGTGAGTTGCATCAGGGCTTGCCACACCCCTCAGGGACCCCAAGCTGTTGCCTGAGAAGCTTGAGAGGGTCCTGTGGTTGTGCCCTCCCCTGGCACCAAGGAAGACAAGGACATCCAGGAAAGCAGGCAGGAAAGGGTGGGGGTAAAGGGAAGGCCGAAGAAAGAGGGCTGGGGTCAGAGGTCAGCCACAGGCCTCAGGGTGGCTGCTGCACCCTCCAGGGCCATCACCACAATGCTGAGCTGTCTCTGCACCTCAGCCCAAGCTTCAGATCCAGGGGCTGTGTCCCTGGCCCTGGAGCAGGCATTGGACAGGCCCGGAAATGTGGCTACGGAGCCTGTGCGAGGCGCCCAGAGCACATGACTGGTGGGAGAAATGAGACAGGATCAGGGTCAAAAAAGAGCAGCCTGGATCTGGAACTGGCTCAGCTCCTGAATGCAGCTAGGCAGGAAAGCATCTCCCTCCATTTGTCTCTGAAAGCCGGGGGGCTCTTACAGCAGTGGTAGTGGAGAAGGAAATGTGGGTTCTAGTCCCAGCTCCCAGAGGGACCCTCAAGCAACTTTCCTCCCCTCCCTGAGCCTCACATTCCTAACTTCCTCAGGGGCTGGGTTGTGTGTAAAGGGCAAAGAAGCTACCCAACTCCTCTCTCAGGCTGGGGGCCTTGCCCAGCCCCACCTGGAGGCACCTCCCAGGACTTGGGAACAGACTCACCTGTAGTAGCGTTCCTCTGGGAAGGCTCGAGGGTTCAGGAAGGTCCGTTCCAAGAGCATCAGCTGGTCATTGAGCATCCGGACCTGCAGGGGACCCTGGAGCCAGCAGCCCAGCTACCAGTCTGGTGTCCTTCCCTGGACGCTGCCCTCCCAGACCCTGCCTGCTGCCCTTGCTCACTCAGGGCTGCCCTTCTGCAGTGTTGATACGCGTTCGCCCAAGGCTGCAGCTTCTGCATCAAACTTCTCCACTGCAGTCACCAGAGGCCCTGTGAGGAACAAGCAGTGGCTTAGTCCTGGGGGTGCAGGGCTCCCCGTGCCTCAGCATCAGGGGCTGTGCATACCCAGGCTGATGCTGTGCTGCTCCAGCAGGGCCCCGAGGTCTTGCTGGGCTGCCTGCAGGAAATTGTGGAGTGTCTCACTGTAGTCACTGATGTTGAGGGGCAGGAAGAAGCTGTCACTGAGCCGGAGAATCACACTCCCTGCTGTCTGGGCCACAGCCTGATGGCTGCTGAAGCCTGCAGCAAGGGTCACAGGGCCAGAGCTCGGTCCTCAGCCTCTCTTGTCCCGGTCTCAGGATGCCCCTAGACCCCTCCTCACCTGGGTCCAAAAACTTGTCCACATAGTCAAAGGTGTCAAAGGCTGTGTGATAGGTGGGGTAGATCCTGGCTGAAGTCTTGCTCTGGGGGAACAAGGCCCAGAGGTGAGAGGCTTGGGATGGGAAGTGGGAGAAGGTATACCTCCAGGGAGCTACAAAATATGGGCATTATCTCCATTGGATCCTGGTCATGTATGTGAGGTGGGTTCTAGAATTTCCACAGAAAAGAACACCGAAGCTCAGAGAGGTTAACCTGCCTGACATCACACAGCTAATCAGTGGCAGAGTTGGGTCTGGTGCCGGTTTCCAGTTTCACAGGAAGGAGAAGAACCTGGGGCTTTGGAGTCAGATAAAGAGATTGAAATCCCATCTCTACTACTGAGAATCGCTGTGGCTGTGAAGTGGAGAATGCACTTTTTGGAGCATGAAATGGAGATTCCAGCTGGTCACTCTGCATCCCTTGTCTTGTTTTACCTTCACCCCAATGCTCACACCAATGGTATGGGTCATCCCTGCTTCATACTCTGAGTTAATCAATGCTGAGATTAACTTTTTCCCCTTACATTTTAAGATCGCTAGAACAGGATACTTCTTACAGGCAATGTGATCCTACAACTGGTTGGAAGTGGTGGTTTTGTTTTTTTTTTTTCCTGAATATTGCATAGCATAATGGCACATCTTATAATCAGTAGTATCTTACATTTGATAAAATAACATAGATGAGCATAAAGAGATGCTTGAAAAGGTTACAAAACTTGGCAGAGGCCGGGTGGTGAGTCTCAGGCCTGTAATCCCAGCACTTCCGGAGGCTGAGGTGGGAGGATGGCTTGAGCCCAGGAGTTCAAAACCAGCCTGGCAACAAAGCAAGACTCCATCTATATATACTATGTGTGTGCGTACGTGTGTGTGTATATGTGTTTAAGAAACTTGGCAGAAGTAGCAACGAGTAAGGGAGAAGGGTTCAGTCTATACCAGAACAGCTCCAGGAAGAGGAGGTGGTGCGTGCAGCAAGGTACTGGGGCAGGGGTAGAGGGGTTTCTGCTCACCCGGTCATAGGTGTAGGCGAGGTCCATGGAGGAGATGCCCAGGAAGTGAATGAAAGGGGCATAGTCGCTGCCAGCACCCAGAGAACCCAGGCTGCGGGAAGGAAGGGGGCCGGGATAAAGAGCACTGGGCTGGACCGCCGAGACCCGGGCCCTCTTCCGAACCTGGGCTTACCTGGGGACCAGGCCGTACACCGGGCTGCTGCGGTTGAAGTACCGGATCCAGTTGTCGTAGATGCTCAGGTCGCCAGGGCCTGGTGAGCGGATCTGGCAGGAGGGAGAGTTTAGTCTCGGTGCAGGGCCCTTCCTAGCCCCAACAACAAGGGTGTCCTCCGCCGGTGTCCAGCCCACCCACGGTCCAGTCCTGCCGAGGCTTGCCCCGGCCTCAGTTCAGCCCCAGCAGATCTAGGGAGTACCACTCCCGGCCCCGCCCACCCACGCGGCCCCGCCCACCCACGCGGCCCCGCCCCCGCTAGTTCAGCCCCGCTGGGCCCGCCCACTTCCACCTCTTTGGTTGCAGAGAAGACGACACTCTGAACAGGGGGCGTCCCCTGCACCCTGAGGGTAGCGTTGGCTGTGGGAGGAGGGGAGAAAGACTGTTTGGGCCCCAGCCCCTTCATTTACCCACCCCGTCGTCGGGCCGTCCCCTCCTCTTTCCCGCCCCGCCACCCCCATACCAAACACCGAGATGTCCACGTTGATGTAGGCCACCGTGCGCTCCTGCAGCTTGTTGAAGAACTCCTGCGGGTGCGAGGGGCGACGTCAGCACCGCGCCGTGCTGCCCTGGGAACCCCTTTAAATTCCCTGCAGGGTAGGGCCACTCACTTCTGTGAATTCCGTGGAGCCAATGAGCCCAAACTCCTCAGCCCCCCAGCTCGCAAACACGATTGATCTGCGGGGACGCCAGGTGCCTGGGAGCGGGGGATAGAGGGTTGGAAAACGGAATCCTGATCCTGGGGTGCCTTAGGAGAAAGCGCTGCGGACGTGGGGAGGACGGGAGAGCTGGAAAAGGCCGGGCAGCTCGTGACGGGAGGTCGTGGCACCCTGCAGCCAGGCCTTCCAGGAGGCTCCCGCACCAAACACTGACCCCAACTCCAAGCTCCCCAAAGGGTCAGGTGGTCCCTTTGCCAGAATGTCCACCGCCCCTCTCTCTGTGGGCATGTTCCGGGAAGACTTCCGACCCTCCACCCTCAACCCCCGCCTCCAAGCCAATCTCCACAGCCTCCTTCACTTGGTGATAATACATGAACGTGGCCGGGCGCGGTGGCTCAAGCCTGTAATCCCAGCACTTTGGGAGGCCGAGGCGGGTGGATCACGAGGTCGAAAGATCGAGACCATCCTGGTCAACATGGTGAAACCCCGTCTCCACTAAAAATACAAAAAAACTAGCTGGGCGTGGTGGCGCGTGCCTGTAATCCCAGCTACTTAGGAGGCTGAGGCAGGAGAATTGCCTGAGCCCAGGAGGCGGAGGTTGCGGTGAGCCGAGATCTCGCCATTGCACTCCAGCCTGGGTAACAAGAGCGAAACTCCATCTCAAAAAAAAAAAAAAAAAAAAAAAAAAAAAATACATGAACGTTTCCTCACAGGGCCTTATCCACGTTGAACCAATCCTTACAACAATGCCTTGAGGGAGAAAATATTATTATTTCCATTTCACAGTTGAAGAAACTGAGACAGAGAAGCTAAATGACTTTCCCAGGGTCACACAGGTAGTAGGCAGAAGAGCCCGTTTCAAATCCAGATATTTGGCTCCACACTGTGCTACAGTGGGCATAGGGACTAGAGGTAGAAGCCAGGCTGCAGGGTGCTCCGCTCCCAGGTTCAGGCAACAGAATCGCTTGAGCCTAGGAGGCAAAGGTTGCAGGGAGTCGAGATCGTGCCACTGCATCCAGCCTAGATGAAAGAGTCTCACTCTGTGGCCCAGGCTGGAGTGCAGTGGTGTGATCTCGGCTCACTGCAACCTCAACTTCTTGGGGTCCGGTGATCCTCTCACCTCAACCTTCCAAGTAGCTGAGACCACAGGCACACACCACCATGCCTGGCTTATTATGTATTTTTGGTAGAGATGGGGTTTCTCCATTTTGCCCAGCCAGTCCTGAACTCCTGAGCTAAAGCCATACACCCACCTCAGCCTCCCAAAGTGCTGGGATTATAGGCATGAGCCACTGCAACCAGCAAATGAAGAATTTTTCAGTGTGATGTGATTACATGCTTCCAATAACAAATGTTTACACTTTTTTCTGCCAAAAATATATAATCTAAATCAAATGAGACAAACCCAAATTGAGGGGTATTTGACATAATAATAGCAGGATAATAATAAAAGGATCAGGAAAGAGTAATGAACAGCTAAACAATTATTATAGATGAAAGGAAACTAGTGACCAGATCACTAGTGTGATCCTGGGTTGGAGCGTGATCACGGCTCACTGCAGCCTCGACCTCCCAGGCTCAAGTGTTCCCTCCTACACAGCCTCTGAAGTAGCTGGGACTACAGGCACATGTCACCATGCCCGGTTATTTTTTTATGTTTATTTTTTATAGAGACAAGGTCTCACTATGTTGCCCAGGTTGGTTTTGAACTCCTGGGCTCAAGCAGTCTGCCCACGTCAGCCTCCCAAAGTGCTGGGATAACAGGCATGAACCACTGTGGCCAGGCTTCAAGTCTCTTTTCTGAACTGTGACTTCAATATCATGCAAGGAGGGGGATGGAGCTTGACAGGAGTGGAGTGTTCCTGTGCAATTACAGCTGAGTGGGGATCGGTTCAGATGCCACGCTTAGAACTCCGGGATGTTATATGTAAGGGAAGATGAAGAAGTTCTGGAGCTGAGGGCAGTGATGGCTGCACAACTTCAGAAATGTACTTAATGCCACTAAGTCAAATACTTTCAAATGTAAAACTGGTGAATTGTGTTATGTATATTTTACCACGAGTTTTTGAAACTAAAGAAAGAGGGCCTGACGTGGGAACTCATGCCTGTGGATCATTGAGTCCTGGAGTTCAAGACCAGCCTAGGCAACATAGTGAGACCCTCATCTCTATAAAAATAAATAAATAACTAAAACTAAAACAGAAACAAGAAATCAACATGGGAAGACCCGAATTCCCGTCTTCCTTAAGGCTGGTGTCATGCATTTCTGCCCCCAGGGCCCTCAGGCGTGGCAGAGAGAACACTGCAGGGTGAGGGAGAGGAGGTGGAACAGGAAGGTGACCTCTAGGGACAAGAGTCCCTGGGCCAGGGGAGGGGGCCGCCTCACCCTTCTTCAGCAGGGTCCCCAGGACTCGGGAGAGCTCCAGGAGGACGGCGGTGCCGCTGCTGGGGTCCACAGCCCCGTGCACCCAGCTGTCCCGATGGTTCCCATACAGCACGTATCGATCTGGCCAGAGGAAGAAAGGCAGAGAACCAGAGAAGAGGGAGAGGTGGGCAGGGCAGCTGGGGTGGGGGTGATGAGGGCAGGGCTGGATGAGGATGCAGTGGCAGTGGCACCCAGAGCAGAGCAGGAGCCTGGGGCGTGGTGAGTGACAGGAGGGCTCACCAGGCTCCACAGCCCCGCGGATGATACCCAGGACGTTGGAGGAGTTCCGCAGCTCCAGACGGTTGTGGACACTCACATTCACCTGACTGGGGAGGGTGAAGGGTGTGAGAAGACTCTTGGCCTTGCCCACTGCCTACCACCCAGTGCACGAGACGACAAGGCCCAGAGCTAGAAAGCAACTTCAAGGTCATTGGGCCAGAGGTACCAAGAGAGGCAGCAGGGCTGAAGCCCGCTCTCCTGCTCACTCACTGGATAGGCGCTTATTGGGTACTGAGCCCCTGACTAGGCTCTGGGCGATGACTGTCACAGATGTGCACCTGGTGCTTGTGGGGCCTCCCTCTCCCGGGCAAGACACACCACAAGGACAGGAAGAGCTGAGTGAAGGGGCCTGGGAAGAGAGGGCACCTCGAGGCCAGGGGGTGCTGCAGGGAGGGAGGGTGGTACAGGTCAGGAGTGGCAGAGGCCCTGATTTGGGAAGGAGCTTGGCATCTTCAAGAGAGGAGTCATGGGGTGCAGATGTCAAGATGAGGTGGGAGGGGCAGGGGAATCCCCGCAGGACACATCTGCAGCTGTTTCACAAACTTCCCCAAAGACAAGACAGATATTTTAGGGTCATGGGAGGGTCTGGGAGAGAGAAGAAAGGGGAAGGTCCAGCTTTGAAGTGGAAAGAGGGAATGCAATCATGAGGGAAAGGGAGAGGTGAGTTGGGGGAGAGGGCGGCTGAGGGAGAAGGGGTCTGCGCCTCACCTGTCTGCTGGGAAGTCTCCGTCAGGCCGGAAGCCCGGACCCAACCTGTAGCTGCAGCCCAGTGCTCCCTGCCAGGTAGCTGGAGCCAAAGTTCCGTTGAGGTTGCTGGGAAGGAGGAAGAGGCCCTTCAGGGTAAATGTGGGTGTGGGGCTTGAAGTTTGGAGGCCACTTCGTGCTGGGCAGGACACCCCAGGGTACAGACTCACCAGAGCAGGTCTCTTGCATCCTGGAAGCCAATGGGCTGTGTAGGAATTGGGGGAAATCCGGAGACATTGGCAAGGCCCAGGCGGAAGGAAGAGGGAATGGCTGGAAGGTAGGGAGTCAGAGGGTCCCCAAAATACTCGTAGTAGGAGCCTCGCTCCACTCCTGAGGGGGGCAGGTACCAGGAGTTGGGAAAGGTTTCGCTGGGTGAGCTCAGCCCGTCGTTGATGTCGGCAGGGTCTGTGTACACCAGCACCCCGGCCACCCCGTGCTTGGCAGCATTCACAGCCTGCAGCGGGCAGAGGAGGTTGTGTGTAAGGGAGTGACAGGGATCGTGTGTGTCCAAAAATGACTGTTTGCACAAGTCATTTATGGCAGTGCTGCTTGCAACAGCAAAGGCCGGTTCAGCACAGCCAAGCCAGTGCCTATCAGTGGAGTCTGGTTGAATATCAGGGACATCCTACAGTGGAATACCATGAAGCTGTGTAAAATAACACGGTTGTGGGCTGGGTGCGGTGGCTCACACCTGTAATCCCAGCACTTTGGGAGGCTGAGGCAGAGGGATAGGTCAGAAGTTTCAGACCACACTGGGCAACATGGTGAAATCCCATCTCTACTAAAATTACACAAATTAGGTGGGTGCGGTGGCAGGTGCCTGTAAGCCCAGCTACTCAGGAGGCTGAGGCAGGAGAATCACTTGAGCTGGGGAGGCAGAGGTTGCAGTGAGCCGAGATCGGGCCACTGCACTCCAGCCTGAGCAACAGAGCCAGACTCTCAAAAAAAATAAAATAACACGGTTGTGTACTCGTGTCCACAACAGCACTATTCTCAATGGCCAAAAGGAGGAAACAGCCCAAGTGTCCATCAACAGATGAATGGCTAAACCAAATGTGGGCTGTAACATACAATAGAGGCGGGGCACGGTGGCTCCTGCCTGTAATCCCAGCACTTTGGGAGGCCAAGGCAGGCAGATCACCTGAGGTCAAGACCAGCCTGGCCAACATGGTGAAACCTTGTCTCTGCTAAAAGTACAAAAATTAGCCAGGTGTGGTGGCACACACCTGTAGTCCCAGCTACTTGGGGGCGCTGAGGCATGAGAGTCGCCTGAACCCGGGAAGTGGAGATTGCAGTGAGCTGAGATCGTGCCATTACACTCCAGGCTGGGCAACAAAGCAAGACTGTCTCAAAAGAAAAAAAAAAAAAAAAAAAGGAATATTATTCAGCCTAAAAAGAAATAAAGTTCTGATACATCAATGAGCCTTGAAGATGTTATATTAAGTGAAATAAGCCAGACACAAAAAGACAAATATCTTATACTTTCACTTATGTGAGGTACCTAGAATAGGCAAATTCATAGAGACAGAAAGTAGAATTGAGGTTAAAGAAAACAGAATAGGGGCTGGGGCAGGGACATGGGGAGTTATTGTTAAATAAAGTTTCTGTTTGAAATGATAAAAAGGTCTGGAAATGGATAGTGGTGATGGTTAACTAATAGTCTGTGTATTTCTATACTACCTGTTCCCCTTTCTTTTTCTTTTCCTTTTTTCCCTTTCTTTTCTTCCTTTCTTTCTCCCCACCTCCCTTCTTTCTTTCTCTTTTCCCAGCTCTTATTATGGACACTTTTTTAAAAATTGTGGTAAAACACACATAACATGAACTTAGCATGTGGAGTGGGCAGGTCAGTGGCACTGAGTACATTCGTATTGCGCGCCATCGCCACCACTCACTGCTAGAACTCTTTATGTCGACAAATCCGAAACTCTGTCCGCATTAAATATTAACTTTCCCTTCCCCTCTCTCATTCTATACTGTTTATATTAACATTTTTTCTAAGTTTTTTAAACCAGGGACATGTAATACCTAGTCAGATTTTCTTTTTTTTTTTTTTTTTTTTTTTTTTGGCCAGGCAGGATGGCTCATGCCTGTAATCCCAGTACTTTGGGAGGCTAAGGCTGGCAGATCACCTGAGGTCGGGAGTTCAAGACCAGCCTGACCAACATGGAGAAACTCCGTCTCTATTAAAAATACAAAATTAGCTGTGTGTGGTGGTGCATGCCTATAATCCCAGCTACTCAAGAAGCTGAGGCAGGAGAATTGCTTGAACTTGGGGGGGACATTCAAATTTTTTGAGACCGAGTTTCACTCTTTATTGCCCAGGCTGGAGTACAGTTGCGTGATCTCGCCTCATTACCGTCTCCACCTCCCGGGTTCAAGCAGTTCATCTGCCTGAGCCTCCCGAGTAGCTGGGATTACAGGAGGCATGTGCCACCACACCCAGCTAATTTTGTATTTTTAGTAGAGGTGGGGATTCACCATGTTGGCCAAGCTGGTCTCAAACTCCTGACCTCAGGTGATCCGCCCACCTTGGCTTCCCAAAATGCTGGGATTAGAGGCATTAGCCACTGCACCCAGCCCCTAGTCCAAATTTTTGATGGAAAAGAAATGGCAGGAAGAGGGCCAACAGGAAGGATTTCGGTTGAATATTCAGAACTACTTCACAGGAGGACTTAGACTCTGGAATACCAAACCTGAAAACTGTACTCAACCCCTTGTGTCCTAAGGCTCAGAGAGGGTCAGGGAAGCATCCAAGGCCACATCGCCCATGGGTGGGACAACCTGAAAATAGCTCGCCTTTCATTCCCCAGCCCGGGGCTTGGTTCCCCGCTCAGCACTGCCCCTTCTCCTTCCCCTTCCCCACACTTTTCTTCAGTCCACTCTCTGGCCCCTTCCTGGCCCAGGCCTCCTGTGCTGGGGGACTGCCACTCACCTTGGCCACACGCCCTACACCCCCATAGCGAGTCAGGGCGATGGTGCCTTCGAGTTTGATGCCCTGAGTCTGTAGCTCCTTAAAGTCTTCTTCCGAGCCCCGGTTGGCATAGACGAGGAGGCCCTAGTCCCAGGAGGGGGTGAGCCTTAGAGCTGGGCCCAGCAAAGGGTGGGGGGGGGAGGGGAGCTGGAAAGCTAGGTGACAGGAGGAATTTGGATTCTGTTCCCCCACCTCGCCCAGAGCTTATAAACTCCCCAAGGACAGTCACCCCTGGTTTCCTCCATGTCTGGGTGTCCTGTTAACAGGCCTGGCCTTGAGCAGAGCCACTAGCGTTTGTTGAAGGACTGATGGAGGAAAGGAGCAGTGATGAAATGTGCAGGTGAGTAAATTCGGGAGGGGGCACTTTGCCCCAATGAGGCCTGTTCCCTGGGTCAGGGTGGGAGAAGCCTGGGTGGAACCAAGGGAGCTAGGCCGGGGCAGTAGGGGGGTTCTGGGCCCACCTGTGGGGCTCCAGGGGGAGCATAGGCAGCGTAGGGTTGTACCACATCTGGCCCCCCTTGCTCCCCGGTCAGGTTCTCCTCGGTCTGGCGGCAGGAGTAGATGATGTCCCCAGTGGGGCCCACTGTTGGGGGGTGGGTGGCAGTGTCATGGCTGGCCCAGCAGCTCCCCGACTGGGAACCCTCTGGGACATTCCCAAGGCTGGGCAGGATCTCACCAACGTGTACAAGGTTAGGCTGCTCCTGGCTGGGGAAGGACAGCAGCACCTCGTACTTGGGGGCCTCGGCCGAGTCCAGGCCCGACTCTGGGTCCCTCCAGCGCTGCAGTAGCAGCTGCACCAGGTCTTCATCCCGAGGGCTGGTGGCAAGGTGCGGCTCCCTGGAGAGTTCTCTGCAGGGTGGACAGAGGGAGGGCCAAGGCCAGCATTAGGGAAGGGGCCTCTGGCAAACGGAGAAGCAGACACCCCCACCTCTCACCTGAGGTCCTCCCGGATCCTGCTGGCATTCAGCTGCCCCATGACGGTCTCCAGGATCTGCAGGTCCAGGTCCTGGGGGGCTGAGACGCTGGGGGCTGGGGACCCTGTAACTAGGGGCCCTGGGGCTGGTGAGCTGGCTTCCTTGGGGATGGCAAAGTGGCCCAGGATGATCCCCAGCCCCAAGAAGGCAGCAGCCCCCAGCCCCAGCCCCAGCACCTTTGTCCACTGCATCCTGTGGACTCTCGGCCACTGGGGTGGGCCTGGTCTATAGGTAATTCCTTATAGAGGGGGTGTTGGGCCTGGTTAACCATTACCCCATGGGTGTCACTGCCCTTTGGCCCCCAGCTGGCAGGGATAGTGAGGAACATCCCACAGCGAGAGCCAGGAGCCATCCACATCCACCACGTTCTGCATCGTTTACCTGGAATGACCCTCCAAGAGCAGCAAGGCCACCCAGGGGCACTGAGGCCCAGAGGGAAGGGTCTCACCCACGGTATCCCAGTAAAACAGAGCTCTGATTAGAACTCAGAGCTCCTGCACTCACAGCAGGGCCGTGCCCACTCCCCACCCTCACTGCCTCTGCTTCCCTCCAAGGCAGCTGATCTGCAGAACACCCAGCCCTGCCTGCCTGAGCAGATTTTGAGTTGAGACCTCCTCCTTGCTGGACGTAAGCTGTGTGACCTTGGGCAATTCACTCAGCTTCTCTATGTCTGTTTTCTCAGCTGCATGGTGGGGATAATAAAACCTGCTTCACAACCCTGTGGCACCATTTTCATTCAACAAGATGGCATCTGTAGACATAGTTGGAGAGTGGCTGGCATGTAGCAGGAGCTCATTCATTTTAGCTACTCATCCCTCATCTGACCCCCTAAGACATAAGGCCTAGAGCCAAAGGAAGAAGGGGGACCCAGAAGAATTCTCTGCATCTATCCTGAAAGGGGCCCAGCTATGCGAGGAGTGGGAGTCCTGGGAAGGGAAGCTGTCCCAGAGGACGCAGCCAGGGAAGCCCATGCCTCCTTAGCAAGGTGACTCCCCGTCTATTCCCTGGCCCTGCCTGGACTCCATCATCCACTCTCCTATTTGTCCATCCACCCATCCCTCCATTCATCTATTCATTCCTTCCCTATACACGCAAGGACTGTTTATTCATTCTGCGCTATGCAAGAGCCACGCAAAGCTGTGGGGAAGCAAAGTCCAGCAGGTGAGGCAGACAGACTCCAGGCTCAGCCATGTGGCAAGTGCCCTGTAGAGGGAGGACCACCATGCTCCCAGTGAAAGAGTGAGGAATTCTGTCTAGGAGGGAACATTTGAGGGGGTCCTCCAAGGCTGAGAACGTATTCTGGCATGTGCAAGGGCAGAGAGGGCAATGAGACCCCAAGTACGCCATACACATACTGAGCCTCTTCCAGATCTCACAGAGAGCCAGGCAGGGCTGGGAGGGTCCCTAGGGCTTGAGCCAGGACTTCTCCCACCCTCTCACGGCCTGTCCTACCTTGACTCTGCCTGGCTAGGTGCAGCCCATGGATGGGCTCAAAGATGCCTGCAGAGCTTGGGGGCTGGGCCAGGGCAGAATGTGTGTGTGTGTGTGTGTGTGTGTGTGTGTGTGTGTGTGTGTGTGATTTCACAGCCCCATCTCAGAGCAGCCTCCTTCCTGCTCACAACCCCATTTTGCTGGCACCACCATCTCTTGTGCTGCTAGTCAGGAGGGTCAGCATGGGAGAACTGGGGTAGCTGGGAGGGGGTGTCATGTGATCAGTGACTTCTGGGAGGTGCACCAGGAAGCCACAGTTCTTGGCAAGGTGATTATCGACGCCCAGAATATGACCTTGGATCTTATCAGAAGCCCATCGGTGCAGGGAGCATAAACCTTCCTTGTGAGGTCACAGGACAGTCACCACCAGGTGGAAAGTGGGACGCCAAGGTCAACTGATAAGTTGAAGGACTGAGGCAGCAACCTCATCGTCCTTCCCCAACCACTCCTAGAAGTAGTTAACCCCTCGATCATGTGACGACACTAACAGGACTCCTGGACAAGAGTGTGTGACACCTAAGTGGATGACACCTGAGTGTGGTTTGTGTCAGAGAGTGTGCGAACAGTTGTGTGTGTGACACCTAAGAGATCCACTCAGGCTGTTGGAATCCACAGTGTTTACATGGCTGTAGGAACCAGACATTAACTTGGTTAATTTTCTTCCTCCGTCTTTGCTGGATGGGTGGTATAGCCCCTCCCAGAATATTCTGGATTGTGGGAGTTGCTGGAAATCACTTAAGGTAGTTAGGGCATGTGACCGCCTTTCCTTTTCCCACCTTATTCCCCCAATGGCTCTGACTCCAAGGGGTTGTTAATCCTCCAGGACCAGCAATGCACTGCTGCTGGCTCCCTCCCACTCTCCACCTGCCCCACACACTCACCGTGGTTCCACCATCCTTCGCCTCCCACGTGTACTCACCTTGCCCAGTTAGAGCCCTGGAAGCCCTCTCAACCCCTGATCCTCTCTGCTTTGCTCACATCCACTGGGAAAACCCCATCCAGGTTACATCTGACTCGTTCTCTGCTCCTCTGTACCTGCACTCTTGCCTCTGGATGTGCTTGCAGAGCCACGTGGCCTCCCAGACGCCATGTTGTGAGGACACTCAAGAAACACTATGGACAGGCCTCATGGTGAGGCACTGAAGCCTCCTGCCAACACTCAGCACTAACTTGCTAGCCCTGTGAATAAGCCACCATGGAAATGGGTCCTCCAACACCAGCCAAGCCTTTAGAATACGGCAGCCCCTGCTGGAATCTTGACTGCAGCCTCAGGAGACACCCTAAGCCAGTACCACTGAACCAAGCCACTTTGAAATTCCTAACCTGTGGACACTGTGTGAGATAATACATGTTTATGGTTTTAGGCTGCTAGGTTTTGGAATAATTTGTAACAGCAAAATAGAGAACCAATACAAATGACCAAATATAAAGCAGAAAGCCACAAGTATATGTCTCCCATACGAACCTCTCCCCTGAACTCTTGTATTTCCAGCTGCCCAATTTACATTCACACTTGGTTGATCAAAAGGCATTTCAGACTTACCACACCCAAAACTTAGTTCCCAATCTTCCTCCTCACACCTCCTTCTCCCATAGGCTACACTTTTTTTTTTTTTTTTTTTTTTTTGAGACAGAGTCTTGCTCCATCGCCAAGTGCCAGGCTGGAGTGCAGTGGCGCGATCTCGGCTCACCGCAACCTCCGCCTCCTGGGTTCAAGCAATTCTCCTGCCTCAGCCTCCCGAGTAGCTGGGAGTACAGGCGCGTGCCACCACGCCCAGCTAATTTTTGTGTTTTTAGTAGAGATGGGGTTTCACCATGTTGGCCAGGATGGTCTCGATCTCTTGACCTCGTGATCCGCCTGCCTCAGCCTCCCAAAGTGCTGGGATTACAGGCGCGAGCCACTGCACCAGGCCTTTTTTTTTTTTTTTTGAGACTGAGTTTCGCTCTTGTCACCCAGACTGGAGTGCAATGGTGTGAGCTCTGCTCACTGCAACCTCCACCTCCTGGATTCAAGTGATTTTCCTACCTCAGCCTCCCGAGTAGCTGGGATTACAGGCATTTGCCACTACGCCCAGCTAATTTTTTTTTTTTTTTTTTGAGACTGAGTCTCGCTCTGTTACCCAGGCTGGAGTGCAATGGTGTCAGCTTGGTGCATTGAAACCTCCACCCCTGGATTCAAGTGATTCTCATGCCTCAGCCTCCCAAATAGCTGGGATTATAGGCCCACGTCACCACACCTGTCTACTTTTTGTATTTTTAATAGAGACCAGGTTTCACTATGTTGGCCATGCTGGTCTCGAACTCCTGACCTCAGGTGATCCGCCCATCTTAGCCTCCCAAAATGCTGGGATTACAGGTGTGAGCCACTGTGCCCAGCCCAGGTTATGGGATTTAAAAAATAAATGCCCTATAGAATATTAACCACTTTTGTATGTAATTTAGCAATCTTCTATCAATATTCCTTCCCTTTCCATTTAATGTGATTCAAAGAAAAAAAAAAACTAAAGAAAAAAAGAGAAAAATAAAAAATAACAAAAAGGAAAATAAAAAATAATAATAAAAAAGGGAAAAAAAAGATTTCTTTCTCCCCTTGACTATGTATGTGTCAGTTTTTGGTGTTCTTCTTTTTTGTAGCCCCATTGGTGGAGAGGGGTTGGGGGCTCCCAGGAGGCCTGGGGCCAGAGGGCTCCTGGGTCAGGGGTGAAACTCAAAATTGCTATGTATCTCTAGGCCTAAGGGGTGTAGGATTCCGGCCCTTGAGGAGTTGCCACCACCTCTCTCTTCCCCCCAACCCCATGACTTACAAAGGGGAAGGGGCTTTTCCAAGGTAACCAGATGGGTAGTGGCTCTTACCCCATCCCTCCCCCACCCCCACCCCAGTATTCTTCTGCACTTTGGAGTTAGAGCAAGGTGCTTGGATCCTCTGGGTGCGGCTGTGGCCCCTTTCCAGCCTCGCCCCAGTGCTTATGGAGGGCAGGGAACATCGCCCTTGAGATCTCATCTTAAGGCTGACAAAAACCAGCCCTGGAACTGTCTGTGAGGGGCGGCGGGGAGGGCAGGGCCATGTTAGGAAGTGGGTAGATCCAGGATGGGTGAACTGAGGGAGTGGAAGTAATGTCAGAGGGTGGCTGAGGGGCTGAGCTCAGTGCAGATTTGGTGATCTCCTGCTCCCCCTCTGAGGCCCAGGACCCACAGACAGGTGGTAGAGCTGAAGTTCAGCTTCCAAATTTATTGCCGGGATCTAGGGAGGAGCTGGCTGATGGAGGGGCCTCCCGAAGAGGTGTCCGACCTCTGGCCTGGGGTCCAGCCATGCCTGACCCTGGTCTCTGTGGTCGTGGGGCAGGTCAGGCAGCATGAAGAGAGCTGCCTTCTCAGGGTTTGGGTCACTGCAGGGGGCAGAGACAGCTCGAGTGAGCAGCCTGGGGCAGCCACCTCCTCCCTCCCTGTCCCACAGCTGCCCACACTCCTGAGCAGAGCCACCTTCAGCAGGGCCTGCGTTTCCTCCCGCAGGGCCTTCACTTCATCCTGGATGGCCCGGGCCTCCTCCTGGATCGCCTGGGCTGCCTCCTTCAGGCTGTGATACAACAAGGTGGGCTGGACAAAGGGTTGCAGGGCCCGAGGTGGGTAGCCGGCCTGCAGGACAACCTGAGACCCCTCTAGCAGAGCTGGGCTGGGAGGCAGGGAGGGGGCAAGACAAAGA